GCCCCTCAATTTCTTAATTCAAGGCTTTTTGTAATCTGGTCCCTCTGAGAAGCCTATTGGTCCTATTGAGGAGGTATTTGTGCTGAGTGTGCAACCTCTCATTGGCTCAATGGCCAAGAGATGGTCCTCAGACGCTACAGGTGACGATTTCAATTCCCCCATGTGTGATTTTCTCCCCGGCCTTCCCAAAACCTCCCAGAATCACCCAGCGCCTCACCAGATCTATTCAATTCTAATCCAATAAAAAAACGGCCAACTTAAGAAATTGAGCCCCTCAATTTCTTAAATTCAAGAAATTGAGCGTCTCAATTTCTTAATTTGGTTTTGTTTGAAATGCGTCATGTTTATCACATTTTCCCAAATTAAGAAATTTGTATTAAGAAATCGAGGGTACCCTCAGAGTCAACTAGAATATTTTTGATAAAAAACAGTAGGCCTCATAATTAAGAAATCGAGGGTACCCTCACCTGAGCGTAGCTATTTCTTAAGCAGCACTGTCACTGTACCTAAACCCTGAACCGTAGGCCGTCACTCCCTTCATACCCTATATGTACCCTCAAGGGTCCCTGGAATCACCCTAAAAACTTTAAGGGCCCATGTTAGGCACACCCCGCTAACATTAAATACTCTCATCATGTGGTATATTATGATATATTGGGAGTATTTGATATTAGGTTGGGGCGGGCTTAGTATTAGGCCTGCAAAAATCAATAAATGTAGTCCCTACACACCAAAAACCTAAACCCAAAACCCCAAAACCCAAAACCCTAAACCCAAGATTACTTAGCCACGAAACCCCAGGAAGAAAAAAGGCTCGATCTGTAGGAGTCCAGCTGCCTCAGGATCCTTTTTATATAAATATACGGACTCCCCTACCGTTAAAAAGCATAAAGGACCCCTGACATTGATCCAGATTGGGGGAGGGGATTACCATCAATAAGTACTCTAAAACCCCCTCAACCCTTAACCCTAAACCTTGAACCAATCCACCCAAACCCTAAACCCCTAAACCCCAAATACCCGCACCCCCCAAACCCCTACACCCCAAAGCCTAAACCCCTTGTCCTGGCTACGGTCGTTAAAGATGCTGTGACTCACCAGGCCGTTGTTGCAATACTTCTATTATGTTCCCATGAGCCATATTCTAAACTCCTTACAGGCTTTGGGGTCTAGGCTGGTTATATAAGGGACTAAAATCTACGGGAGAAACTAGGAGTTTAGACTATGGCTCATATAGAGCTACAGTCAAGATTTCATACAGAACAGAATATGCATAGGCTACTTATTAGGGACTATACTAGGGACTATACTCAAATGCAAGCAAGGGGGACCCCCATGTCCACTCTTCAGGGTCCCGTAATAAAGCTAATATTGACACTGACAATAACTCAATATATAGTAACAGCGAGAAGAGCCGCAAGTCCTTCTACTGCCATTGCTAAATCATGTGTTCCGCTAAAAAAAAAGACCTTCTTACACTCTATAGGAGCCCTCTACACATGGATATCTTCCATACCTCTGCTGTAAACTCTAGGGGTCTTGTCGGTGTCCTTCTGGCAGTCCCATGAGAACTAACTTCCTGTCATCCGTAAAGGGTCCGACTCTGAGCACTTGGTGGCAGGGGATTTTCAGTCATCAGCGCTATGTCGATAGCGAATGTAAGGCCGGGGGAGAGTGAAAGCACCGTGGCACTTGGCATACACGCGTATATGGTTTCCCTTCATAGGGGGACCCCGATATGGACCCCGATATGGACCCCAAAAAGGACCTGTAATTTTGGCAACACCCTTATACTGGGTGACGTGATCTTGTACTGCAGTTCCTTTGCGGTTCGGGTGAATCAAGGGGCTCCTTTATGAATTGGTTGTGAAGGTGGATTGTAGTCCTAGTAGGCACCAGTCTAGAAAACAAATTCTGTCACCATTTAACCCACCGTCAACATGGCTGTGTTGGATGCCAGCAAGGTTTACAGCGTACTCTAAATCCCAAATCTATGGCCCCAATCTTTGGAGGGGCGGGCGGGTTACTCACAAGCTACTACACATAAACGACTTGTGCGACTTTAGTATTGGGTTGTAATTGTAGTTATAGGTAGGTTATAACCAGCCCAACTCCTCCAGGTAGCTCATCATCTCGGAGCCAGCAAGCATTTTCCACGTGAGCAGTTCTGGTCTCCGTTTCTAAAGTCTCAAGTATGGACCCCTAGCATAGGCCATGACATGTTGATCCCTTAATACTTTTTCAAGTGGTCTTTGCCTTATACTGCGGCGGTCATTTATGCACTCGCAATTGGGCCAAAGACTCCTTCCCCAACAAACTAAGGCCATATCAGGGGCCCATGCTTCCAACCTTAGATCGTTCGGTCGGCATCACGCGCACCCAAACCCCGCTCTTCCTTTCGTCTGAAGCTACAGAGGGGTGAATTTGCAGGAGGAATCCTGCTTCAACTACTCAGGCCTTACACCCTAAACCCTAAAGGGTTTAGGGTTTTGGGTTTAGGGATTAGGATTTAAGGGTTTAGCGTTTAGGGATTCGGGCTTAGGGAACTCCTCCAGTCTGAAGGACCCTGAACTTATAGTCCCCCTTAAGTAGATAGAATATGGGGTATATGGGGATCCTATTATATTCTAGTTTTTAAATCCTCCCAGGGGTCTGGGGTTACAGAGACCAGCTAGAATTGAACATGTTCTGGTATATTCAAACTGTTTAAGGTTTAGGGTTGAGAGCCACCTAGACGGAGTGTTCAAGATTAGCTTAGGGTTTAGGGGTTTCGGGTTTAGGGTTTAGGGTTAAGGTTTTAGGGTTTAAGGTTTTAGGGTTTAGTATTTCTTGCAGGGACGGGTTGCTCATGATCTACTTACAATGGAAGTTCATAGACGGCATGCTGGGTTGCCCTTGAGGCACGTGAATGAGGTTACTATATTGGGGAAGCCGTATTAATTACTCTATATATATTTCCATTATGGTAACTTAATGTAAGTTCCCTAGATCCCTACATTACCCAATTTCCATTTCATCTTTAATTTTCTTGTCCATTTGACTCTCCATTATAGGGGGATAATATACTTTTAATTTACGTTCCGTAACATCAACCCAGTATTTCAGAGTGTCGGGCCCCATTTTGCAATCCTGAGCCTTAAACCCCTAAAGCCTAAGCCCTATTTCGGAATATCAGGGGACCCCACTTTTGGGTTCGATTTTCTTTCCTTAAGCAAATATTACTGTACCATAATTCCTAGGTAGAAGGCACTTAGGGTCATGCAGGATCTGTAGCATCCTCCGTATTACCCTAAACCCTGATTACCCCAAACCCCAAGCAAGCATTTTTTGCTACATTACTTTCGCTTTTAAATGTCACTATCGGTCAATGTTGCTCTATGTGATTGCTCTTTGCAACCCGGAGCGCACGAGCTTCAGCTAGGGGATATTACCCAACAGAATGGAAAAATGGAAGAGAACACGGAAAATCAAATGCATGCCACTGATCTATTTTTGGGGACATACTAAACTACCAAAGATACCCCTGTGCGCACCTTCATATAGGTAGATCACATGGCTTTTGATGGGCTTTAGAAGAAATGGCTTTGATGGGCTTTGAGGGGCTCTGACCCTTATAGGCAGAACAAATGTTGTTTGATGGGTTTGGAAGGATTGGAGAGCTCTCTCAGCCTTCATATAGGTAGAGCAGATGTTGTTTGATGGGTTCGGAAGGTCTGAGTACAGATAGAAGAAATGTTGTTTGATGGGTTTGGAAGGATTGGAGAGCTCTCTGACCCTTCATATAGGTAGAGCAAATATTGCACGTGTGTTCCACAATGCTGCGGCAAAAAGGGACTGGGAGACATTTAATGGTTGTATTTTGGGTTTTCCGTATCTTGGCCAGAGTGGATGGTCATGTACCCTGCCTGTTGCAATAATTCGGGGGACCTTCATCGATTTTGCCCATCCACCAGGCTCGTGTAGACAACATGGGCATTTGTTTGAGCTTCTACAGTACCTTTATCTGGACAATGCAAAAGAGGGCTTTGAAGCACTTGAAGTCTTCCCACACGTCCACACCGAAAAGGAAGACATACACCCACAAACAATGGAAGCTGAGATCACGTGGGCTTCATGGGCTTTCATGCTACTCCCAGAAAAGCCCGACAAACAAAGAATGGGCTTGCTCCGTTTGGGGGCTGCTTTTGAGAAACTCCTTACAGAGCCTTGCGCGCAGTGCTTTTGCGCATACTGCATCAGTCGAGGACAAGGGCATCCTGGGCATCCTGGGCATCGTCATCGTCCCGGCGGTCCCCTCGCTCCTCCTTGACAGGCAAGGCTGCTACAACTTATGGGTATGATACCCCCCCAGCTGCTATGCTGCTACTCAGTGGGGGCAGCACCCCGCTCATGGTCCATAGCACTAAGCAGCTATTTTCATACGGGGTTTTAATTACAATTGGGAGAAAGAGGATAAGTCCTCGCAAGGGTGCCCATAAGTAGGATCATAAGCACATTTTGTAGTGTCACTTCCAAGAAATCTCCACCCTGCTAATAACGAATACTCTCCCCAATAGATACCCATGATATCCCATAATGATATTGCGGTGGGGAGTTTGTGATGAGGGCGAGGGATTCGAGTTTAAAACCTTAACCCCTGTGCGTCTATCCGTCAACGTACTCGTTTGGGGCTTAGGGTTTAATGTTCAGAGCTTGATCAGCAAGTACTTGGAGGTCCATTGTACTTATAACCTACTTAGTAACTGTAGTTATAACCTAAATATAAGTCCCATAAGTATAGTTACCCTAGAAATAATTGGGTTATAACTACAATTACTAAGTAGGTTACAAGTACAATGGACCTCCAAGTAGACCCTAAACCCTAAACCGCGTTTGGAGGCCCTGGGATGGTGGTAATCTACGTTTACCGACATTTATTTTGATCGAGCAATAAACGTCAAGTGCCCTAAGAATGGTTGTGATGAATTGGGTTATACCTTAGATTAGAAGCTACTGTATACACCCTAGGCACCTTAAATGTGCGGGGACATCTTCACTTGTAGCTCGGCGTTGGGGGTTGATAACCAGCAAAACACTACAACTCATTTTTCTGGACATCCGTATAGGAACCCCAAATGCAGCACCCTTGACCATAAATCCATAAACCCTAAAAACCCAAATCCTAAACCCTACACCCTAACTCCTGAAGGTCACAACCTGACTGCGGAAGAAACCTTAGCCTGCACGTTGAGACTAGACCCTATATCTAAGGCTAAAACCATGGGCCACTAGCATGGGCCCTTAACCCTGGGATCCTTATATCTATATATATATAGCCTTAAGGGTCCCTAGAATCACCCTAGGTAAGAAGGCTTAAGGGCCCACGTTAGGACCCATACTTCTACCCTTGGACTATACCCTATTTAGGGTTTCTCAAACTTAGGGGTACCCTTATGGGGGGATCCTATAAATAAGGCTAATGATATTTCGGGGTCTATGTTGGGGTCCCCCCTTAATGCAAGCTCGTAAAACAGGAGTCGTACAAATGGGGCTTGGGCTAACTTAGTTCTCCCTAAATGTAGGGTATTTCTGGACGCCTACTGTAACAGGAACCGAGGAAGAGGTTTGTCGGAGCCCACGACGAACTCCCCTGTCATGGAACCGGAGGAAGCATCAAAGCCCGGACCCGCTATAGGATTTAGGGTTTAGCGTTTAGAATTTAGGGTTTAGGGTTTAGGGGTTATGATATTCTGACGAATTGAAGGACATCCCACTCCAGACCTTGAGCAGGATAATGGGTCCATGACTGTCTAGGTAAGCCGGGAATTCTGGAACCCCAAGGCCTGAACCCTACCTGTATATCCAGATATAGCCCCAATATCCCCTTGTGCCAGAGGATTTTAATGGGAACCCCAATCAGAGAACTCCAAGAATATAGTAGCAATATAAGGATGCTGGTAAGTACATTCCTACCAGATTGCTACTATATTCTTGGGGTTCCCTGTTTGGGGTCCCCATTCAAGTCCCTAAACCCTAAAACCCAAAACCCTAAACCCAAAACACTAATAGCCCCTAAAGCGCCCCAAACACCCCAAAGCCCGAAACACTTCACACCCTAAAAATCAAAAAAACTTGAAAAATCCAAAGCCCGAACCACTAAAATTTAAAACCCTCAAAATCCTAAACACTAAAACCCATCCTAAAAACGGCTAAACACCCTAAAAACACAACAGCCCAAAACCCTAATGACCCAAAGCACCCTAAACACACTGAAAAACACTAAAAGCCATAAACACCCAAAAGCCCAAACCGGAGTTCGAAGGACCCAAGGTCGGAGACAAGAGTCAATGGCTTGTTGCACTGCATTCAGCAAGATGGTCAAGTCTTCCAAGCCCATCTCCTTCCAGTTTGGGGTTGAGAGTTCAGGCTTTGGGTTTGAGGGCTTAGGGTTGGGGGTTTAGGGTTTAAGGCTTTTGGGTGTCAAGTCTTTCAAGCCCATCTCCTTCCAATTTGGGGTTTAGGGTTGAGGGAAGGGGGGTTTTAGGTTCGGGTTTAGGTTTGGTTTGAGGGTTTAGGGTGTCAATTCTTCCAATCCTATCGCCTTCGCAGAAGACAAGAGAGGCTAAGAATTAGGATAATTGGGGCTATTACACCGCTAGTCGGTGTTATAAGCATACTTACTGTTGGGTCTTCCAATCCCATCTCCCTCCAGTTTATCGGGGAACCCTATAATTCAGACAGCAAATGTCAAAATTCGTAATGCTTAGGGACACCCACCCCCCCAAAAAACGACTGACTTTTGGGAAGCTTCATGGTAGATGAGACGGTGCAGGACAAGCCAGGGCCCTAAACCTGCGTACTTCCCAAGATGTAAATAGTATCTGGGGGCGGAGTACAATGAGAGGATTCCTCACGGTGGCTTGGGCTTTGGCATCTAGGGGTTTAGCGGGTTTTGTTTGAGTGACATAGGAGCTAGACTCTTGGATTCAAGGTTGTCCAACTTAAATGTAGCGGTGTCGGCAGAAGCACAAGCCTAAGTGTGTCAAACCAGGATATAGTCCCCCTGAAGTAGATAGAATATGGGATACATGGGGATCTTATGATATTGCACCCAAAGCTATATTCTATCCCTAAACCCTAAACTTTAGGGGGACTATAAGTGGCAAGCCTCTCTCGATTTTGGCAGGGGAGCTTTTGTTTGACGAGTAAGCCCCGACTACAAGCCCAACCCTCAGACCCAACCCCCTAAGGCCATCAAGTTAGGATGTATAAGGGTATAATATAAACGTTATACAGGGATTATATAGTGATTAGGTAAGTTTATATACGCGGGTAATATAGGCATACTGGAAAAAGAGGATGGAATCTACTATTTAGGATTGGGGGCAAGGTCCAACAAAGTTCCCCAGCTATCAGGCATTTTTGGCGGTTGAGTTGGGCATATCTTCTCTAAAGAGTCTGAACCTTAGACCCTAAACCCCAAACCTTATCTTCCCTTGATGAGTCTGAAGCTACATTACACCCCTGAGCTCCAAAACCGTAGTGCTCCAAACTACAATTAGGGTTTAGGGTTAAGGCTTTATTCCGTAATATTATCACAATGCCCGATATACAAGGTTTCGTTGTGGAATATGTGGTATTGGTGGTGCTCCCCCCTAGAGGATCCAAAACAAGTGCCTCCCCATAATCCCACACGTTCCCCAATGCAAGGGGAACCCTAAACCTAAACTTTTTTGGGATCCTTTTGGGGGGTCTGGGCAGGGTTGCGTTCGTATAAGGGGCAAGGGATCATCCCCTACCTGCCTCAATGTCGCCGAAGAGAGCCTAAAGCGATGCAAAACACTAAACCACAAACTCTCGGGCGTTGGGGTTTGGATTTTAGGGCCGAGGGGTTTAGGATTTGGGGGTTTAGGGCTCGCGAGGGTTGGGTGCTCAGGGTTTTGGGCTTTAAGGCTTGAGGAGGTTTATGTGGTTCGGTTTTTGGAATTTGGGATTTCGGGAGTTCAGGGCTAAACACTAACCACTAAACCTGAGATTTACGCTGCTGAGGATAAAGGACACAGTACGCAACCTTCCTCATGTACGCAATACAAGTATAATCCACCCCCTGATCACACCAATAACGAATTCTCCCAATATAATGTAAGTTTTTGAGCTATAGTTTAAACTCCTAGTATCCCCCTTAATAACCCCTATAGTAGTCCCCTATATAGCCCTCTATACAACCCCCCTTCCTTAGACTATAGCTCATATAACGTAATTATATAAGGGGGGAATAATCTATTATCAGGAGGCTGGGGGTAAGTACTGGGGAGAAGAAATTGTTTGCCATGACCTATCGATGCTAAGAAGTGCAATCTTTCCCGCCCCACGAGTATGACCGTCAGGACAGAAACAGACTGAACCCTATCTTAAATCCTGAGGGATGTCAAATTTCTGATCCAAAGCCCTAAACCTTCGGGAACGGCCAATTTATTCAGTGCGTGATATGGGCTTAGGGAGACTCCGGGATGCAAAGGGATTGGGTAGGGTTTAGGTTTCAGAGCTTTGGGGTTTAGGGCCCCTCAAGAACGAAAAGCAGAAAGGCTAGTGATAGTTGGCTTTTGGGCGGATGTGGAGAAACTCTTCATCATGCCCTAGTATGCAAGTTCGCCACCCCCCGATAATGAAATTCCCACTATAATACCAAGTATTTTTGGAGCTTTATTATTAAGGGCTTGGGGTGGGGCTTGTTTTTGACTATACTGTACTAGTTCATGGCTAATCAGCATTGGCAACAGAATAGAGATGTGCTGGCATTCATACCCACAAGCCACGATAATCACCCGCGTTTTGGTTGGGAAGTGTAGGGCCCCAAATGATGTACCTTTTAGGGCATATTCTACTACGTAATGTCCAGCTTTGAAGTCCATCTGAGGTATCCTGTATGCGCGTACACGAAATCCAAACTTTTGAATGAGAGCCCCTAAACTATGATTGGGTTTTTTCTTGAAGAAGCCCTTCCTAAACACCTTCTTTTAGACTGTACCCAAGATTCGCCTTGCCTCATTTGCATTCCCCACAGGGGTGGGGCGTAATGGGTGGCTAAGGGAACCCATAAACCTCTGTAAGTACTACTGCCGCCATTAAAACTAAGCGTGCCCTCAGTATACCGTACAACCACACTTTCCCAAGGTTTCACATACCTAGGGTCTTGCAGGATTTCCAATCTTCATCGCAGAAATACCCCAATTATCCACCCATGGTTGCTCCACATCCCCGTGGTCTCTCTGCATTTTGAGAACCCCAATTCCTGGCCGAACTGTTATACTTCCGAAGACTGGAATAAGATCATGTTGGGGCAATATTCTATATGAGACACCATTTAAAAGTGAAATCGGGTGAGGTCGTGACAATCTACCACTTTAAGGCGTCTTGTAACCACCCCCCGCCCACAAGGTAGAGACATCCACCCTGAAAAAGCCAATGTTTACGATCTTTTTTGTTTTCAGCCTTAAACCCTAAGTCCTAAACCCTACCCTAAACCCTAAACCCTAAACCCTAAATCCTAAATCCTAAACCTTCAGATTTCTTCAGGTAGCTTTCATCTCCTCAAGGAATGCCTCGAGGTTCTGGGACTCCTCGTTAAGGATTTTGGGGTTAGGGCTGGGGATTTTTGTGTTTAGGGTTTAGGGTTGACAGTTTAGGGGTTGGGGTCCATATGGCTTGCGGTTGAGGGTTTTGGGCTTCAGGGGGTGTTGGGGTTGAGGTTTTTGGGGGTTGAGTTCAAAGTCTGAACCCCCCTCAACCCGAAAACCCTCACCTTAAATCCTGAGCATAGATGTTTTAAGGGTCCGGGGTCCTCTTCTTCGTCAGGAGCCATAAGCACCTGGGACTCCACAGGTTAGGGTTTAGGGTTCAGGGTTTTTGGGTTCAAGGTTTAGGGTTCGGGTTCAGGGGTTAGGGTTTAGGGTTTAAGGTTTATGGTTTAGGGTTCAAGGTTGCAAGGGTTCAGGTGTTGTCGCGTCTTGCAGAACGGCAATCCCCGTAGACCTATAATTAGCATACTATTGGAAATAGTTCCTTAGGGTTATACTAGAATACAAATTAGTTCCTAATGGCAGGAGAGAATGGGCTCTACATTTGGAAGCCAACATGCCCTGATTAGGGTAAATGGGGTTTAGGGTCCAAGGTTTAAGGTTTAGGGGTCTAAGGTTTAGGGTTCAAGGCTTAGGGTTTGGGTTTAAGGTTTAGGGTCCTACACTCCCCCAAAATTAACATGCAACTTGAGAAGGGTTCCTGTGTAGGCCTAGACAAGCTTTCTGTCAAGTACTCATCATGAGACACTGGTGTGAAATAGGAGCTCGAAAATTATTTCACGTCTAGGGCCCGACAAAGGCCTGTTTCAATACATCCTAACCCCTGAGCCCTACACCCCTTTCTGCATATCCCTCGTGGCCGCTGTGTACTAGAAGAATCCGCAAACACTCAACGGGCTGAGGTCCCAGTGCAAGTGCCATGGTTGTAGGCATTCTGAGGCAGAGATTTGGGCTGGGTTTAGGGTCTTCCCGAAACCCTAAACACCTCACCCCCACCCTAAACCCTAAGCCCCTTGGGTTTGAGGTTTACGGCTGACTTGACATGACACCTTCACCCTGAGCACGATGTTCTGCGGCTTTCTGGTCGATATGATGTCTAACCCTGAGCCTCTACCAAATCCTAGAACCTAAGCCCCATACCCTAAGCCGGAGGGCCTAAATCCCATTCCTAAATCTTAACCCTAAACCCTAAACCCTTTGCGTTCTCAACTCCTAGGAACGAAGTGACCTTAGAGTTCTCCAGCTAATGTAGGGTTTCGGGTTTAGCGGTTAGGGTTCAGAGTTGAGAGTTTTGGGGTTTAGCGTTTAGGGGTTTAGGGTTGGAGCCATTAACGCAAGTGCTCTCTTGCTGAAACCTCTAACCCACTCCCCTAACCCACCTCCGAAGCATACAAACCCTGAGACCCTGAGCCTTGGGTATTGCCACCACCACTAGCAGCCTGTAATAGGGTGACTGCCACGGGGCCATATATAACTCTGGAAGCCATACCCAGCCTTAATCCTAAACCCTAAAACCTAAACCTCTTAACCTTAAACCGCACAGTTCAGGCCTAGAGTTTCCTTAGGACCCCTAGTCCCAAACCCTAAACCATCAAACCCAGAACACTTAAATCCTGAACCCTAAACCCTAAAACCCAAAACCCTTACGCCCTAAACCCTAAACCCTCACCGTTTTTGGGCCTGGGTGTAGGAGTCAGGGGTTGAGGGTTTGGAGGAGCTGCAGGATTAAGAGGTTACACGATTTAGGGTTTTAGGGTTTGTAGGTTGAGGGGTTTAGGGTTTTGGGTTCATGCTGTTGACATGTCTGTCTAGCAGCATTGATGGCTTAAATTCTTATAGAAGTAACCAACTTGACATTCCTATTGACAATATGTTGGCTGTTGTGATTTTTCCTGGCCGAAGCCAACCAGTAGTACCAGCATAACTTGTCGATTTAGGGTTTGTCTTAGGCGTGATTCCATATGTATCTCGGACTCATCCCCACTCCTCTTGCAGAAGTCTTCTTCTGCAGCAGGATATTCTTCCAATGCTGAAATGAAACAGCTGATAGCCGGCTAAAGAGTTCTAAGGGGTAGAGAGGTAGCTGAAGCTCAGGGAGCCATTGCAGGGGATCTCCATTTTTTGTTGGTACTCAGACCTCCCCCCAAACCCTTAACCCCAACCCCGAGCCCGAAACCTTTGGGAAGTTGATTTTGATAACCCTGTTTGAGGGTCTGAAGCATGGGGTGTAGACTCTATGCCTATCGACACTTCAGATCTCGATTCCCCTTCCCTAAACCCTAAACCGCGTACTCAGCGGTAACTCAGGCTGAACTGTAGGCCGGCCGGTATAGAGGTAGACCCTAACCCTAAATAGGGCTAGGGTTTTGGGTTTGGGGTTTCGGGTTTAAGGTTTGCTGTGATTTACCGTGCAAGCAGTGATGATTAGGTGTCAAGGACTCTTCAAG